TAGTTTTGTTTATTTGTTTTGCTTTGCTTTTCTTTGTTTGTTTGTTTGTTTGTATAAATGTCTTCATCTGTTTGTTATTTTTGCTGTAGCTGTTATTTTTTCTTCGTTTGTTTGTTTTTAGACGAAACATCTATAAGCATTTGGGGAAAAAATAAACTTTTTATTGTAATTTCTTAAGGGGAAAGGGAGAAGCACATAGCACAATAATCCAGTCAGTCATAGGTTTATGAAGCTGTTTTAAGCAGCGTTAGAGTGAAAGGTTAGAGGTGGTTAAATGTGCATAATATTAGTTTTGTTTATTTGTTTTGCTTGGCTTTGCTTTGCTTGTTTGTTTGCATAAATTCCTTCGCTTGTTTGTTATTTTTGCTGTAGCTGGGTTTTTTTCGTTTGTTTGTTTATAGACAAAGCATCCATGAGCATTTGGGGGAGAAATGAACTGTTTTTGCTTCTATCTGCTCAAGGGGAAAAGGGGAAGCATAATGGCACAATGATCTAGTTTATGAAGTTGTCTTAAGCAGCGTTAGAGTGAAGGGTTAGAGGTGGTTAGATGTGCATAATATTAGTTGGGCTGTACTAGTTAAAAAGTATATGTTTTCGTTTGTTTGTGATTTTGCTGTTGCTGCTTTTGTTTTCCATTTGTTTGACTGGCAATAGAATTATGAAAAAGGAAACTGTTTGGTTTTCTTGTTGATGTTACGGCACTACACTATTATCCTTTTACAGCTTTTGCATTCCGTGACGTATTGCGCAAGTCATAAAACAATTTCTTGCTATCTAACCGATTTTCGATATGGGATAACACTTTTTATTTGAAATTGTTTAGTGTATTGACTCATGAAGACACTTTCCTTCGCAGACGATAACCGTGAATTTCCCTTACGGATCAACTTATTGTATGTAATGTAACTGTATCAAACAAACGGACAGCGCATACTGAGAAACCCAGTATTCATAGTGAGCAAATGTGTGCTTCGAATGAAGAGATAACGATTAACCATTCATAATTGAAATTTTTGTCCGATGGGTGGATCGATTGATCATTGACATATTCATCAATTGGTTATTAAATGTACAATAGTCACAGATGATGATTGATTGCTCTGGCGTCTGTAAGTGTAGTGGTTAGTCTTTTCGCCATTACACACATAATATGCTCTATTCCCGAGTATAGAGCTTATGTTATCCACTTTCTCCATCAACCTTCTGAGATGGTTTATCCCATTCTGAAACGGGTTGACAAAAACCCAACGAAAAACCAACCAAAAAAACACGCTTTGAGCTAGCTCTCTACGTGTCTGTCTGTCTGTCTATGCCAGCCTCGATGTATCACAGTCTGGCTCTCAGTATGTCTGTCTTTTTTGTTGTTGCCACTTTGCTTGTTACATTTTTGTCCGTTTGTGGGGTGTCTTAGTGTCAGTTTAAAATCCACTCTTCTCTTCTGCACTGCTACATGAACTTTCCTAATCAGCTTCTATCCCCCCCCTCTCTCTCTCTCTCTCT